TTTTATCCCTTTTGGGATTTTTTTTTTTTTTTTTGAAAAAAAAAAAAAAAATAAATTTTGTTTTTTTTTTTTTTTTTTTTTTTTTTAGCAAAGTCTGCAATAAACGCCCAATTAAGTGTTCACGCTAAAAAGTGTGGGGATTTGTTGATTTTGTGTGAATTTCCATGATAATTCTCAAAAAACTGAAGGGACTGATTGATATAATTTGGTAGTAAACAGATAAAAGAACCTGCATTAAATTGACTGATAACATAATATTTGAGTCTATAATCTAGAGGGCCACATCAAAAGCTATGGTGGACCAAATTTGGCCCACAGGCCTCGAGTTTTACACACGTGAACAAGATGCATTGGAGGTGGATGCTGGAACATCATTGCCTTAAGTTAGATTGAAACAAGATTTTTTGAGTAAACTATGTTGAGAAGTGTAGATTCTCAGTACAGAATGTGTTGAGAGACGTGTCTTTAACACAAAGCGTTCTTTATTAAGACGAGGGATTAGGCCTTTGGCTTCTTCAAGATACTCAAAAGTCTTTTTCACAAAACACTGAGGCAGGATGAAGAGGCCTTTTGCTGCCCCTGTGCTGTTGCCAGGTGATAGAAGAGAATTAGCCAGGCTGTGTAAGGGTGAGCCGGTGTTGCAGATCAAGTGTGTGCCTCGGCGACCACCGAACTCTTCGGTACGTCGTTTCCTGCCGTTCAGGCAGTGGAGTCTGCAGAGACAGAGCAGATCGCTGCTCTTCAGTCTGGTGTGTTTCAGTTTTGGTGAAAGTGAAACAGATTTCCAACACACACCGCTGAGGTCCACTTGCCGCCGCCATTCGTTTCATGACGCAGGCTTAATCTTTGAAAGCTCAAGCGTTTGTGACCAGTGGCGCCCCCCTGAGACGGGGCTCGTACTGCAGCCTGTGTTTTGTGAACAAGGCAGCAGAAACTACAGGTAACTCACAGATGAACCGACAGAAACATTTAACTTCTTTTGGAATATTACAGGGAAATAAAAGCAGAAACGGTCTCTGTCGTGTTGCATTTAGTTTCACAGCTTTCTATGCTGCCAGACACAATTTACACTTGTGAGAGTAGAGAATCATCAGTGGCATCAGCAGTGACTGCTGTGGAGGAAATCCTCCAGCCAGAGATGCTCAGCCTGTTAAAGATGTTTCACACCATCCCGGTGTTAAACTGCCAGCGCTGCGAACTTTTTGGCTCCTGTGTTAATCGAAAATATACATGAGGTCAATTAAAAACCCAAAAAAGATTTTACTCTTTGGTGGGAACCTGCAGACAAAAAGATCTTGTAGCTTTGCACTAAAACTTTTTAGGAACATCAATTTCAAATCTGCGTGAGGGAAGTTTCATATGCTTTAAGAACAACAACTCAGTTCATCATTTGGTTATTCTAGTTTGATTAAGAATCCTAATCCTAATCTAGATGAGCTCCAACCTAACCGAGCACCAGAACCCAAATTACGAGATTTGATGAATATGAGCATTTATGATTATCTTTATAACTTGTAATTATTTACTGCAAAGGAAAATGTATTGATATGTGCTGCAAAAAAAAAAAAAAAAAAAAAAAAACCCAAAAAAAAATTTTCCCCAATTTTTTTGGTGTGGTTTCTAGCGGAAAAAATTGAAAAAACAATAAAAAACAA